TCCTGCGTCCACTTGACCTTGCACCTGCCATCCCGCTGCTCGGGCACATCCGAGTCAGTGTCCTGGCAGTGCAGCTCATCCTGGTCCTCACTGCAGAGCAACAGACAGAGCGTTATCCCATTCCCTCTAGGAAAAGCAGAGGGAGCTGCCCCCCGACCAACACACACACGCAGACCCTCCCTCAGCCTCCCCGCAGCCCCTTCAGCTCCAGGACCCACTGCACTTTTGCCAGTCTCACAGTGACACTGAGAATGGACGCTCCTTCGGTTCCAGCCCATCAGCGCGGGCTCCGTGAACTCAGCCCCGCTCCATCCTCCTCCATCCAGCTCCCCAGCGTCCTCCCTCACTGCATTAGCACAGCGGGCCCGGGGCCGGACAGCTCTGAGCCGCCGGGCCCAGCCCGAGGGCAGCGCGAAGAGGCAGGCGGCGGGACGGCAGCTCTGGGCCGGGCTCCGCCACCCCATCCACACCTCTCAGGGACACCGAGAGCGAGACCGCGAGACCCCATGAGCCACAACCTCCCCCCACCATCCCCAGCGAGAAGCCGTCGGGCCGTCCCCGCGCCGGGGAGCCACTCACCCGCGGCTGCGGCGCGCCATGGCGGCGGGGCCGGGCGGCAGCGGCGGCAGTTTCCTATCTCGCGCCAACAGCTGCCCCCCCTCGCGCGGGGCCGGGCCGCGCATGCGCACAGCGCCGGCGCCCGCACAAAGAGGCGCGCGCGGGAGGGAGACCTGATGCCTGTGCCCCGCCCGAGCCGAGGGTGAACCCGCAGCGCAGCTGGGCCGCGACTGTGCTAACGGAACTAACGGAACTAACGGGAACTAACGCGCGGCGTTCCCGAATGAACTGAACGAGGGAACCACCCGTTAATTAACTGCCGGCACTATAAAAGCACTTTAAGCAGGGGTAAAGGAAGGGCTGCGATCCTGAAAGAAACCTATAGGCATTGAAGGCAAGTAGTGCTCTTCTTATTTCCCAGATATTGCTCCATTTAGAGTCTCAGAATGGCCAGGGTTGGAAGGGACCTAAAAGATCATGAATCTACAACCCCCAGGTGCTACTTAAAGATTTATTTAAGAAGCATCTGGGCCTCTTGAGTGTTTCCCTTTGGGATGATCACATAACTGTCCTGAGTAAACCTGTGTGCTCTCTGCTTTTGCTCTTAAAGGGCTCTGTGATGAGATTTCTGACGCTGTGCGTCCCCAGGTCATCCTGGCATAGCTGTGTCTGTAAGGCCTCTGTGCTGCACATAGTGGGATGCAGCCTGGCTCCACCTGGGATAAATGCTCTCCTGACCTCAGGAATGGGAATAAAGCCTCTCTGATGGCCACCCCAGGTGTCCCCTGCAGCAGGGATGCTTTAAGGCTCCTCACACCCAGGAGAACAAAGCTAATAGCACTATGCAGATCGAGTGAGCACAAACCTAGGGATGCTATCTTGTCCCCCTGCCTAACAAGGGGTCTGAAAAGTCATTTCCTGGTGCTGCAGTGCGGGTCCTGTGCCCCATTAGGAGATAGGGCAGGAAGGTGCCCTGCCTGGGTCTGAGGGGCTGCTAGTGGGGGTAGCCTTTAAACTGTGTGCTCCAACAGGGACTCCTGGCTCCTCCAGCCTTGTGCCATGCTGTCCTCCCAGCAGCACAGCATCCTGACCATTAAGGACCTCCTGGACAACGGATTTGTGACGGGGGCCTCTGGGCACACCCACTTCTCTCCTGTGTGCAGTTACTACCTGAACTCCAGTAGTGCCCCAAAGCAGAGTGCCTGGGAGCTGCTGCCAGATGTGGACACCATGAGGGGCAGCCCTGTGTGTATGGTGGCACAACCCATGGACAGCAGAGTGAGGGCTGGCCTGAGCTCCTCAGACCTCAGCTTCCTCTCCTTCTGCAGGAGCCCCTTCGGCCCTGCTGTATTCGACCTGCCAGCTGTGCCCTGTGAGCTGACTGCTGGGCCTGGATGCTTGCTGGATACAACATCGAGGAACACCTCCACACCGTGCAAGGCTAGGAGGAGCCTCCAGGAGAGAGCACTGTCCCATAGCACCGAGCTGCTGAGTGACCTGCTGTCCCCTGGGAAGCCCCCAGCAGCCAGGTGGGAGATCTCAGAAATAAAGCCTCCCCTGGACACCAGCCTGCCCCTCGATATGAGCTTCCTGGGCTGCTCCAAGCCAGACATATCACCGTTGGGCACCCCTGTAGTGCTCCCTGTGTCCTGGCCCAGGAGACACGTGGCTCTGTCCCATGAGGCCCAGCTGGGCGATACAGAGCTGGGCTCTGTGCTCCTGCGCCAGGCCCTGTGATGCCTCAGCCCTGGCAGTGGTCACAGCTGCACGGTGTGGGGTAACGGTGAGGTTTTTCTCCTCAGCGGGATGTGACTGTGGTGGGAAGCTGACGGCAAAGCCCCATGCTCTGCAGCCCACAGCCTCCAACCCAGCTCCCCGCTCCTATCCTACTGCTCTCTTTTGTATTAAGGTAATAAAGCTTTCAACTTCCCCCTCTGCGCCTTTCCGCAGGGTCACGCTCAGCGCCCTCCAACCCCCTGGGCTCGTTCTGACTGACGGAGCGTGAAGGCCCTCGGCCGGCCCCGCGCCACCCCGCCCCAACATGGCCGGCCCGGCCCCGCTCCCGGCCGCGCTGCTGCCCGTCCCGCGCCGTTACCTGCCCCGCGGCCCCGGCGGCCGTGCGAGAAGGAAAGCCGCATCCTGCCCTCCCCGGCTCTGCTATGCGGGAGCCGGGCGGCTGCCTGGCCCGCGGGTATCTGCGGGGCCGGGGCTCGGGATCCCTCTTCTGGCACGTGGGGAGAAGCACAGGCAGAGCGCGGGGCTGCAGGGGCTGTCCGCTGTGAGCTGTTTGAGATTTTCTTGCTGTTCGAACTTAAGTTTGTACTTCAGCTTTGAGCCTGGCAGAGCGCTCCCACCGCACTCCTGCAGCTGCTGGAGCTGCTCTTCCTACCTCGCGCTTCCACTCTTTTTTGTCTCTAAAGTTACTTGCTAATGCCAGCTTTCAGGGCATTTACAGGTTGCAGAAGAAACACTATTGCTTCTCTCCTTTCAGGGATGAAAGGAGAAGTGGTAAAATACAACATGAGAGTAAAAGGGGAAAGTAACCTGTTAAGCCCAGTTACCTTTGCTGGGTGCCTTCATTTCTGATGGCTAGCTTCACTTACTGAAAGCCTTCATTGCATCAAACTCCTTCCAGTTTCTGTCAATCAGCTTACATGTATTTTATTTCCTTGCCCAAAGCAGTATTTCTGTTCATGGGAAGCGTTTAAACTGTTATTCTAAGGGCCAAAGGGAAGTTTTGAAAGACAGAGTGCAGCTATTGCCTCTGCACACAGTTCATAGCAGACATTCTGGCCAAAACAACCTCCATTCAGTGGGGGGGAAAAAAAAAAAAAGCTGTTCTTTTACTTCAGCTGTCAGCATGGCACAAGAGACAAACAGCAAACAGGGAGCTGCTTGTATTCTCTAGCTGCTCAGATGACTTCTTTCTAAAAATCATGTTACAACATCAGGAACAGGTGACAAAAACAACTCTGAAAAGGGGCACAGAGGGAGAGTGTATTTACAGTTTGCAGTCTAAACACCAAAAGAACAGCACAAACCACCTCTATAATTAGCAAGAAGATCACACAGTTGTTTGGTTCAGCTGTAGTTGGTGCCGGTTGACTGATTGGTATTGATACTGCGGGGGAAAGATAAGGCTTATTATGTAAATCCAGAGCTGGAACATACAAAGTGCTTCTGTGAGTGAAAATCACAACCATATTATTAAAGAAAAATCATTGAATTAGGAAAAAATGAAAATCCTGAAACATGCTGCTATGATAAAGGATTGTCCATAAAGCATACAGATGCAAAGCATACAGTATAATCCCTTCTGCCAGTATTACGTTGGCACATCTCAGCTGGTTAGTAGCTCGCTAGGTGCATTGGGAAACCAGCTTTAGGAAAGCATCCTAAACATGAAACAGTGTAAAATGATTGGTTTTGTGTTGTTTTTTTTTTCCCCTTGGAGGGGAGGAGGATAAGACAAACCTTTTGGAAAAGCAGCAGCTTTTACATTAAAAAACATGGCAGATAAAGATAAGGCACAAGTGCACAAAGGCCTTACAAAGTGCTCGAGTGGGGCAAAAATCAAGTTTTACAGTCGGGGTGTCTGATGAAATACAGAACTCTTCAAATATCAGAGGGCAACCTCAGAGAGTTGTTAAAAATCTCCAGCAACACTGACACACAGTGCTAATGATAGTGACAGATCTGTTCCTCTCAGTGCTTATACCCTTGGCTATATTGTCACCATGCACTGAGCTTCAATATCTCATGGATGATGAATTCCATGTGAGTTTCCATTCCTGTGCAATACCTGGTTTAATGTCTCCCCGAGTTTCCTGCACAGTATCAGCCTTTCCTAATAGAGATCCATTAAATCTTAACTTCTTAATCCCAACACCATTCGCGATGTCCTTCCAACCTTGAACAAGGCAGCAGTCTGTAGCATCATCACTGTCTGATTTCAACTCTTCCCCTCCCTGGAAAGAAACCTTCTGCTCCTACAGTTACAAACCTACCTCGCCTTGGTTCATTTTTGCAGAGATCCAAAAGCCTTGGGGGGCTACAGTAATATATTTTCAGCATCTCCTATATTTACTGCTGTATTTTCTTTTTCCAGTTCACCAACCAGAGTAATGATCTTTCTCACAGTGCAGTTAAGGACTACATGTATGCCAAAAGGGCCCACAGTAAAACTTAGTAGAAGAAAATAAATACCAGAGCAAGAAATGACCAAACTTAGATTTTCTTAGCATAAGATTTATTTATATATATTTATATATATAAATATAACAAAATTGCAGTTGCAATAAAGAAATAGAAAAACAGGAAATAACCTGGAAAATACAAACATTTCCTCAAAAGGCATTAGTTATCCCAACTACTACATGTAACCGATCCGTACATTCAGTGAAATACTCAGACAGTCTCAATCAATGTACTGAACACAGAGGTTGAAGAAAATTGCTAAGTATATTTTTAACAGATCCTCTCCACCCGGGGAAAGCCAGGTCTCAGTCACCATTCTGGGCTTCACTTGCGTCCGTATCACGTTGCTTAGGGAAGAGGAAAGGAGGAACAAAATCAGAACAAAACATCTCATTGTACAGATTATATACTATCGTTTGTACAACTAGTGTCAGATTTGGACCTTAACTGAGCTATTTGAGACACTTGTTAGTAAAAACAGCTGGTCTGCCTATAAGCATAAAGTACTTCTTCACTGTCAATTTGAACACAATACTCCTTGTAAGTAACAACGCAGGTTTCGCATCTACATCGTTGCGTTAGCAAGCATAGGAGCACCCATGAGGGCACACTGCTTTTACATGTTGTGCATGTCAATGACTGGAATTACTCAAACTGCACTGTCAGTACCCCCCAATTAAAATAAATGGGAGACTTAGTAAATTGAGCACTACGCAATCTATACCACTGTAAGTATTCTGTATCAAACACCAGGCGTCGACTTTATTGTCCATCAAGTGCCTTTACGCACTGCTGTATCTCCTCCCTGTGACAAGAGCAGCTGCTACAAGGACGTATCATCCTAGTGCTGGCAGTATCAACAATTCACTTGTAACTCTGTTATGAAAAATACCTGATTCCGTTTCTTAAATTCCACCACTTGGAAGAAGACGTACTCCAGAATATGTTTGGCATCCTGCTTCTCCTTTGGGAGCTTACTTGTTACTCCTAGGATATCGCCACACTTTCGTATATAAAACTCCAGGTCATCATCAGTACCTAAACAAGCATCGCAAGCAAAGAGGCAGGTGAGCATCACACATCTGGACCAGCAGGGCAAAAACATACTGCCAATCTCCATTCATTTCTGGCATCCTGGGGATACAAACAGATTCACAGAACTAGTCATCATGTATTCCTGCAGCCAGTACGTTCTCATCTGGTCAGTACCAGACACTGAACTGCTGACTTCAAAAACCAGTCCCCAGAAGAATAGAAAGGGAGGCCAGCAAGTCTCTAAAATAACAGCAGGCTTACAAATCAAAGCCCATTGGGAAGAGGAAAAGACAGGGATAGGAAGAGGAAGATATGCTGCTGCTAACCGATGTGTCGAGCTGTAAGTCATGAACCAGCTTCCAACACTCAAAGCATACTTGGCCCAGGATTACAAAAGTGCATTTCCATAAATTATGACCAGGTCAAACACCTATTTTCTTACAAAAACTTGCATAGACACATGTGAAAAATCAGTCTGCTCTGCTTACATTTGTTTGTAATCTCTGCAAGACGAGCTTTCTCAGAGGAAAATATTTCATCCAAGTCAAACAGCTCCAGAGGAGGAGGAGGCAATTCTCTGAAAATAGGTGGAAAAACCTGGAAGAGAATTGAGAGAGCATGTTTTATTGACAATTATTTTCCTTATACTTCAAAAATCTCCAAGGCAACAGTTTTAGACTGCACTTCAATAAACCTTTTCTTAAATCAGAAGCAACTCCAAAGCCCAGAGTACAAACGTACATCCTTTTAAAAATCTCATGTGTGGTTTGCAAAAACAACTCAATATTTCAAGAGTTTAGTCTCCAGAATGCCAAAATTATCTCCTAGAACAACTACAGATGCTATATTTGCAGTTTGTTCTTACTTTTGTTCCAAGACATCCAGGTGATTCCATTTAGTACTGAGATAGTCGAGGTACTAAACAGACCATAACAACTCGCCTTGAAGCATTTCTGTGCTCATTTGGATGAGGGTATTTTCTTTCTCATGCAGTCACCACATGTGCCACAACTGGGACTCTGCATTGAACAGGGCTGACAAGTGCTTAAAAGAGCACTCTATTTCTAAATGAACCTGTTTTTAAAGAGCACTGCAAGAGATATTACTTCCAGTTGACCCCTGAAACTAGCTGTAAGTTATCACAGGAACATTTCTTCAGTGGTCAAACCAAAGCACAAGCCACAGTGGCAGAGCTCAGACAGAAAACTAAGTGTGACACCACTGAAGCTCACGGTGTTGGTGCCAGTCCAAATCTCTGCAAGTAAAAGTTTGGCCAGCCCTTGCTGTAGAAGACCAACACTTTATTTTCTTCTTCCCCCGAAAATGCAGAAGCTCAGAGAACAGTGGAACTGACTGGCTCCCCCCAGCAGTACAATTCCATTGATCACAACACCACTATTTTCTGAAACACCACTTTCTGTTTTCACAGTGAAAGCAAAAACCCAAAGCCCTACAGGGCCAGGAGCAGCTACACAAGTGATTATACATGCAAGGCATTCGTAGAGATTTAGAGAGTTTCTGTACCATACCAGATGCCACACTTTCAAGTTCTGCTGACTAAAACCATAAGTGTAAAAAAGCTACTTCTTAGGAGTCAAATATGTGGCAAGATCAGTATTGCTCTCCCTTTTTTTTCTTGAAAGAAACACAGAAACAACACACAGTGTGTCCATATGAAACAAAAACCCTCCAGGTCCCGTGTCAGCAAGAATACTTACAGCTGGCTGCAAGGGAGGCAGTGGAGTCTCAAATTGAGGCTCAATGAGTCGGAGAGGTTCATGCTTCACATTCAACTCTTCATAAGCTCTGCAGTAAGCACAAACCAAACCAAAACAAAAACCCAAAGTATGAGGAAAGAAATAACACCATTTGTACTTGCGTGCATTAAGGACTATAGAAGTTAATCTTCCACAAAGACACAAAGGTCAACATTTTGCAGAAAGTAACGGCACAAAAAAAATGGACACCCATTGATCAAAGGAACCCAGAGCACTACATATGAGTAATAGCTGACTTTGAAAGCAAGCAAACTGAAGTTATGGCAGAGCAGACAACGATAGATGGACATGTAGAATGACAAAACAGAAGGAAGTCACAGCTCTCCATTATTCAAACAACTTTTGAAGGGATGGACGCACAAAGGAAAAAGCGATCCAGTTCAAAAGGAGCTGACTGGGGATTTCAACAGTTCTTCAGAGAGTTCCTAACAAAAGCCATTTAAAAAATTATTTGCTATGGGACCAGAAGGGACATTCCAGTACGAATTCACATCTAGGGAAAACAGAAAAAACACAGAGTAAGAAGAGATGTCCATCAAGCAGTGGAGTTTCATGAAATCTGTGCCAAGCCTGCTATTATTCAACATGTTCTTACACGATCTGAGTAGCATAAGTTAGATGGGACAAAGCTGCTAGGGATAGAAGAGTGATGAAACCAAGCAGCAGATAAATCTTCAGGCAGAGAATTTGCTGGGAAGTGCAAAGATGAAAAAAACAGAGCTTCAGTAAATGCCAAGTAATAATACATGAATGGAAAAACAACCAGCTCTCAGACAGTATCTCCTCTTATCCCTCCAGAAAGTACCCAACATCATTGCATGCAGTTCTACAAAAAGTACCAGTTCCTTGAGGCAACAACTGATAGAAGAAGTAAAAAAGAATGTCAGAAACTACGGCAAAATTCCTATCAAAGAGAAAACCTGTGAAACCATAAAAAGAAACAAACCTGCAGAACAAGAAAAGACCACACTATCACCCTAAGAGCTCTGGTATATCCATAGTCAGAATGCGGTACGCAGTTCAGGTTCTTCTGCTAAGTGGTCACAATAAGCACAAAATAAGCAGAAAATGGAGAAAGAAAAAACAAAAGAACGTAGCACATGGAGAAATGAAAGAGTTCAGAGTTGCTGACTTGAGAACTGCAGGGAGGGCGGTTGTGTCCAGCTCATACAGGGACGTATCAAACAGCTGTGTGAAGTCTCTTGGGCTCTCATCTCCTTCTTGCAGACAGACCCGCAGTTGCTCAGACAGTGCAGCTATATTTGGGAGCAAGGTATAGTCTGAAATCTGAACACACACACACAGACACGCACATTATTAAGAAGACCAAACCAATTACAGTCTCTTACCAGTTTACACCTCTCCTAACGCCATCCAGAAATAATTACTCCATTCTCCACCAGGCACGACCCCTTGCAGTGCAGCTTACACCAGAAAACTGCAGACTCCATTCTTAGCTGCACCCTGTTCACAGCTGCACAGACACTGCATCTGAATTTGTCAGTTCTTGTTAAAATCAAGAGACAGCTTAACACTCAACCATGCAGGACTCTTTCTTTTCGTACACACAGTCTACAATTTTGTCATGTGTATTTCTAAATAAAAAATAATCTCTGCATATGCAGATATAAAAAAAAATAATAACCACAACTAAAATTGATACAAAGGCTGATGTTTAACCAGAAAAACAAAATCTGTCTTTGCTTCACACATTTCTCTCGACTGAAGGCTCAAAGCTGAAGCACAAACTGGTTAAGTTTGAACAGCAAAAAAATCCCCAGCAGCCAAACTGGGAAAGGTCTTTCACAGCCAGCTTCAGGAATAAGCACCAACCCCAGACTGAAATAGATATATTTTTTTATTCTCCATTTTCTCTCCTAGTCTGTCTAGGAATTCTTCAACTTCTATCCAAAATAAAGGGTCTGTAAAAACAACAGCATTCATCTGGCTGTTAGCTATTCTGCACTAAATCACGGTTGGGCAAAACCAGCACTGCTGGACCTCTCTGTTATTTACTGCCTTCTGAAGGATCTCTCTTACCTCAGGGTCTTCCATGTCTGTCTGGTTTAAACAAATATCTGATGTTGTGAGCCACTGGAAAAGCACATCCTGGAAAAGGGGAGAACTTCATTAAAATCAGGAAGGCCCAAGTTCATTCATATTAAATCTAATAACATATAGCAAAAAAAGAAGTAAAGTGGGTAATAAATCAAAGAAAATCTAGAGAGAAAAGACAAACTTGGATTTTTATTTGCTCATGGAAGCAGTGATTCAGAACAAGAAGCACACCCTGTGTGAGATGTATGCTTTCAGGAAAACCCTCTTCTTACAAATAAGGGCACTATGCATGTATGGGAACTGCTGAGTCACGGCCTGAACCTCTGATTGATCACCTGAGGTGAGCCTTGAGTCAGCCAGAGGAGCACAGGTGAAGGCAATTCACCTGTGCTGCCAGAAGGGGTGGAGCCAGGCTGCAGCCCTCCTGGACCTATTTAAGAGCTGGCTACCAGAGGGGAAGGATCTCTTCTGGAGATCCCCTCTTTTGGTATCTTCTAGTGAGCTCAACCCAAGGGTAAGCTCTTCCACTTATTCTCTTTTTGTGATCGTTGTCTGCTTTGCCTTACTCTCTTGATTATATTGCAATTATAACATCTTGATATCTATTGGTTATACACAATTATATTGTGATTACAACATCTTGGTTATACAGTGCACTACACCTTGGACAGCACACTACAACCCATCAGGAGCCACATGTACAAAGGTTTATTATTAATCACAAACCAAAAATCAAGCACTCAAGAAGCTAAGAAGTCACAGACCACAAAAGACCGACTGATCAATTTTCATAACAACGAGTGCTGAACAGGAGTAGGAAACGCTTGTCAGAGTCCTGAAGCACAAGCAATACCCCGTACTGTTACAAACTCCTTTCTGTTAGTTGTGCTGTGACAAAGCCTCCAGGATGTCAGCTGTTAGCAATGGGTGAGACTCACACCACATCACTTTCACAGCTTTCTTGGCCAAGAGGAAGCTATTCAGCTAGAATTCCTTTGTAACCCTGTGAAATACACATACTTGTTCACTTACCAGGATCTTACCATTTTCTTCTTTATCTAAGTATTGATCGCTGAACATGTGGCAAGATCCCAGTGCTGCCATCTTTCCACCTTGGCTCTATTGAGAAAGAGCACAATATTAAAAAAAACATTCCTAGTTGCAGTTTTAGAGGCAATTGTTAATGGCATCCAATTGCAAAGCAACTGAAACAAATGAGAAATGTTGGAATAAGCATCAAAGGCAGTTTCAAACATGGAAAGCTCACAAGAGCGCAGCATTCTTTATAAGAGCACATGCTCTGCAGGCCCAGAAATTCAGTAAAATACTCATCTTTTTGAACATTAGAAAGACAAAAAATCCCGTATCGTCAACAATAGCTGCACTTATGTTATTTTGGCAGTAAAAAGAACACTTCTATTGATGAAGCAAAAAAATAAGTTCAAAAAATGGAAACCTAAAGGACAGCAACATGCATGCATGTCAGCACAGCACGTGAGTACATCAGCCAACAGAAGAGTTGGATAATTTCACTGCTTCTAATATAAAATGCAAAAGATTCAGGCTCCTTTATTTCTCTTCAGCCAAATTGAATGTGCATGAAAAGGCATCCAGGAAACAACTTTGGTGTTCTTCTCTATCCAGATTACCCCTCCTGCCCTCCACGAGGGCACACATAAGAAACAGGAAGCTTTCAACAGACCCAGGCACCACGTGTGCTTCCTGCACCAGCTGTGGAGCTCAAGGCATAACACATCCATACAGACTGCTGCAATGGCACTGAAGATACTCAGAGCTCCAGTTTGCCTAACAAACTGCTGATATTCTCCACATTTTGCAAATAAAGCTCAACTTGAATTCTAAAGGTTTGATTCCAAACAGAGTAACCAGACAGCATCCCCTGCTCTTACTTTCCACTCCTTCAATTTTGGTTGCTGCTCTTTACCGCATCTCCTCTTTGCTTCCATAGATTCTGTTTTCCTTCTGGCACATTGCTCTGCTCTGCCTGAGAAAGAAACTCTGTCTCTGGCTTCATCTTCTACCTTTTTTTCCTACAGTTTCTGCAAGCTAGACAGGAAAAATGATGCCATCTATTTGAATTCACACGGCGGTGTTACGATGCAGGAAGAACTACCCGGCTGACATGGCACTGTTTCCATCTCAGTGCCCAACCCATGCAGAAGATCTCTGGGAGGTACAAAGAAGTTACATGGATGTCACTTGGAGCGCAGTGCATTTGCTGCATTTCTCAGAGGAAAACACACTTCTCTGTACCCACGAGGTGAAGCACGTGGAACTTCACGCAAACAAGCACGCTCCTGAAATGAGAACACTGACCAGCAAGCCTTTGATCCCAGCGAGGCTTTACGTCACTTTGGCAAACATGTCACAAGAAGACATCTCTGCATTCACAGAATCACACAGAATCACAGAATCACCCGGGTTGGAAGGGACCCCAAGGATCATGTAGTTCCAACCCCCCTGCCTAGCAGGGCCACCAAACATACACATTCAGATCAGGTTGCCCAGGACCCCGTCCAACCCGGCCTTAAACACGTCCAAGGACGGGGCATCCACAACCTCCCTGGGCAGCCCGTTCCAGGGCCTAACCACTCTCCTAATAAAGAACTTCCCCCTAACATCCAACCTAAATCTTCCCTCCTTCAACTTAAAACCATTTCCCCTAGTCCTGCTGTTATCAGCCCTTTTGAAGAGTTTACTCCCCTCCTGGGTGTAGGTTCCCTTCAGGTATTGATAGGCTGCAATGAGGTCACCCCGCAGCCTTCTCTTCTCCAGGCTGAACAAGCCCAACTCCCTCAGCCTGTCCTCATAGGGGAGGTGCTCCAGCCCCCTGATCATCTTAGTCGCCCTCCTCTGGACCCTTTCCAAAATCTCAATGTCTTTCTTGTACTGAGGGCTCCACACCTGGACACAGTACTCCAGATGGGGCCTCACAAGAGCCGAGTAGAGAGGGACAATCACCTCCCTGTCCCTGCTGGCCACCCCTCTCCTGATGGAGCCCAGGATCCCATTTGCCTTTCGAGCTGCCAGAGCGCACTGCTGGCTCATGTTCAGTCTCTCGTCCATCAGGACCCCCAGGTCCTTCTCTGCCGAGCTGCTCTCAAGGACCGCTCCTCCCATCCTGTATAGGTGCCTGGGGTTCTTCCGGCCCAAATGCAAAACCTTGCACTTTGCCGTGTTGAACCTCATCAGGTTCACCCGAGCCCAGCCCTCCAGCCTGTCGAGGTCCCTCTGAATGGCATCCCTTCCTTCCACCGTATCAACCGCACCACTCAGCTTGGTGTCGTCAGCAAACTTGCTGAGGGTGCACTCAATTCCCTCATCGATGTCATTAATAAAGATGTTAAAGAGCACCGGTCCCAAGACAGACCCTTGGGGGACACCACTTGTTACCGGCCTCCACCTGGACATAGAGCCATTGACCACCACCCTCTGTCTGCGGCCTTTCAACCAATTGCTTATCCATCGGGTCGTCCACCCATCAAATCCACTTCCCTCCAATTTGGAGATGAGGATGTGGTGGGGGACCATGTCAAAGGCCTTGCTCAGGTCCAGGTAAATGACATCGGTCGCCTTCCCTTCGTCCACCAATGCCATCACTCCATCATAGAAGGCCACAAGATTAGTTAGGCATGACCTTCCTTTGGTGAAGCCGTGCTGGCTGTCTCGGATCACATGCTCATTCTTTATGTGACCGAGCATGTTGTCCAGGAGGATCTGTTCCATGATCTTCCCAGGCACGGAGGTGAGACTCACCGGCCTGTAGTTCCCCGGGTCCTCCCTGCTCCCCTTCTTGTATATGGGAGTGACATGACCCTTCCTCCAGTCGTTTGGGACCTCACCTGACAGCCACGACTTCTCAAATATGATGGAGAGCGGCTCGGCAACCACCTCATTTGCATTAATGCAAACAATTGCAAGATTATCGTGGGTGTGAGATTAGACATCAGTCTGCAGGTCCATTGGATTTACGTGCACATATTGTGTCGGGGGAAGGGATTTTATTCTATCTTACTCCAACAGTTGCACACAAAATGCAAGCAGTAAGTGCACGTGTAAGTTCGCTCACACTGCTGTATTGACTTTGATTTACGGGGTGCATTTCAGACACAATGTGGGGAATGAAGACAGACATCGTCAGTAAAAAAATAAAGAAAAATTTCCTTCCTAAGGTACAAAAAAACATCCAACCCACAAGAGTGTTAGCAAGTTATACACACAGTAAAGAGCATGGTAATGTTCACTAACAATACTAATTCCTTATACCCATCCACTACTAGCAGTTTCCTTTTTTTTAATGAACTAAGAAAGCTGCACAGATAACAGACATCTACCAGCTCTGAGCTGATGGTCCTCTTCTTCATCCACTATTAACTAAGTAACAGTCTCATTAAATGCTCAAATTACATGGCTTGCTTCATGCAGAATCGTACCTCGTGCTGATAGAACGCAAGGACAGGTCTCTTGAGGGGGAAGCAGATGGATCCTGTTGACAGAACAGCCACTGCTGGTTTCATCACATTTAGTGTGGCACCAAATGGATACACAAAAGTGAGAGCTCTGCAGAAAATACAGACTCCTTAAGTGCCTGCATGCATCAGATAGGCTCGTCTCATCTATAAAACAGACTATCTGCCTAAGCTGACAAGTTTAACCGTGCGCTGATGGTGGAATGCCAAGAGCCCTGTTTGAGAAACTCAGACCACCACAATGACATTACTTCCTAGGAGGTGTTTCTCTTTAGAAAGAAACAGGGTTCCTCTTCTCTACAGGTAGAGCACTCACTAACCAGAGCTCATGCCTATTCATGTTCAATCAAACTCAAATACAGAGAGAAGGGGGGGGGGGGGGGGGGCAATATCTGGTCAAGAAAGTAATAATTCCCCTCAAAATCTATCTATCATTCCTGCTCTTTACTTGCTATCAAGAGTCACTGAACAGCCTTCTTTCCAGATAAAGCCCTGGGAAGCAAGAAGCTAACTGACATACATACATTAGAAAAGCTCAACATAAGCTAAATAAATTCCTGCCCACGGAGGCTATCAGTGGAGAGTGAGGCTACAGCTTTTCACACCAGCTGCCCCAAAGGAAAACACTTACTGTGAGTCATGCCCGCTCCCATCTTCACCTGTTGTCTCAAGCCCTGTTTTTCCTGCAGCTTCACTGATTCCCCTACAGCAAATTGAAAGCAAAGCCTACTGAAAACACTACGGGCTAAAAGAGTTAATTGTGAAGATGCACATAGCCAAAATACCTACCTATTCAAAACTCCATCAGAGATCAGTGCTTCTTTTGGATGGAAGTACTTGTAATACACATTTCGTACAACAGCATCTCGGATAAAAAAATGAAATAAGAGGAAATCTGTACCTTAACTGATCAGTGTGCTAAACGTAGCAATGTAAATGAGTTTAGCTCTGGGCTCCCTTGAATGTTTCTTTCTAACACTGCAAAGCTGGCACGTGGCCCCCAGAAAAGTTCCTGTCAGTCTTCACTATTGCTTCCTTCTGGACATAAAGATTTAGACCAGCAGTATATTTGCAAAATAAAACTATGAAAAACGACCACGTGTCTTCTGCATGTTCTTAGATTAAAAAAAAAAAGTTAAAAGAATTCTTATCAAAGTTTTTAATACATCTCCTAAAGCGTGATGATGACCAATAGCACTGACGCACAAAAAAACAGAGAGCAAAAAAAAAGGAAAACAAAAAATACCAGGCTAAATGCCATCAAAGAGCCTACAAATATTTCCTGTACACCGAGGCACACAGTTTATTTACACTTTGGCAGTGCAAAAGCGAATGGATTGCACGTCACTGGTCTCCTCCAAGAAAGTGCCACAGCTGCTTCAGGTGAGGTACGGGGATGGCCAAATTGTTACCAAGCTGCTGTGCCTGTGGAAAGCCCCCAGTGTGCCTCAGTATTACACTATAGAGCACATACAGATATCAAGAGAAACACAGCCTGAAAAGATCCAAGGGCATATTTTGTGTGCAGGACCTGCAGAGCTCACACCCTACAGACTGAACTGCTCTTAGCTTTCCTAGGAAATGAAAGAATAAAAGGTGTCAGTGAGCCCCACTACCGTTATTGAAAACGATCCCGTATTCTTCTAACAGAAAGTTGATGTTTGTGCCAGATCTGGACTCGCCGCCTTCACTGAGCATCACCAGGATGGCTCCACCATCCTCCAGGAATTTCTTCAGAACCGAAAACTAAAAGACAACAAGCATCCAGAAAAAAATCGTCAGTGAAAGAAGACAACAGCAAGACTGCAAGAATCACAGAATGGCCTGGGTTGCAAAGGAGCACAGCGCTCATCCAGTCCCAACCCCCTGCTGTGTGCAGGTCACCACCCACCAGACCAGGCTGCCCAGAGCCACATCCAGCCTGGCCTTGAATGCCTCCAGGGATGGGGCATCCACAGCCTCCTTGGGCAACCTGTTACAGTGCCTCACCACCCTCTGAATGAAAAACTTCTTCCTAATATCCAACCTAAACCTCACCCGTCTCACTTTAAAACCATTCCCCCTTGTCCTATCACCATCCACCCTCATAAACAGCCATTCTCCCTCCTGTTTACATGCTCCCTTCAAGTATCGGAAGAAGCTACACTGAGATGATTCTGACAACCTGCAGTGAATTTGATGCTATGAGAAAAGCATTCAAATCTCAAGCTGTGTAAATTCATACAAAGCAGTAACGTCCAAAATCATCTACGCTGTTATCTTCTATTTTGTTTTAAGATTTGCTTAATGCACAGCCTATGTGCAAACAGGTATGGTTTTAAGTTGCGGGAGGGAAGATTTAGGTTGGATGCCAGAGGGAAGTTCTTTACAAATGATGGTGAGGTGCTGGAACAGCTGCCCAGAGAGGCTGTGGATGCCCCGTCCCTGGAGGTGTTGGAGGCCAGATGGGCAGCCTGGGCTGGTATTAAGTGTGGAGGTTGGTGGCCCTGCGTGTGGCCGGGGGGTTGAGCTTCATGATCCTTGAGGTCCCTTCCAGCCCTGGCCATTCTGCGACTCTGTGATTCTTACCTCAGCAGCGCTGAACTTTTCTCTTGGACCAGCTGTTATCCACAGTTTCACTCCGAGGAGCTTCTCAGACGTGATCTCATCTTTTAAGCTACAAACGGACAACAAAAAGACACGGCATTCTTGCCCTGAACCACAATATTACTAAGAACTGACAAATAAGTATTAAGCAAACCACTCCAGTCGCTTCAATCCCTTCGTTTCGGTTTAGAATTCACAACCTATCGAACACAAAGCACCGTCAGCGAGGCCCCGCGGCACAGCCACAACCCGCACCTCACAGAGAACAAAATCCGTGCCAACGAAGGCCCTTCCTTCTGCGCCCCGACACCCCGAGCCGGGCAGCCGAGCTGCGCAGCACCGCCAGGACGGGGAGAGCAGCGGCCCGGCCCTCACCTCAGGATCTCCCAGTTCCCTCGGAGCCTCTTACGCCAGGCTTTGTAGTCGTTGGCGGGAGAGAAGGCTTCCCCTTTGGAAGCGTTGAAGACGATGGCGTTCCGCGGGCACTCCGCCATACCGCACGCAACGGCTCCCGGTCGCCCGGTAACGGACCGCCCGCGCACGCGCAGCAGCCCGCGCTTGTGCTGCATCTCCCAGGAAACACTGCGGCTGGGATCGTACCGACAGCCGCCGGTAGGGGGCGCTGCGCCGTCCAGCCACCCCCACCCCCCCGGCCACACAGAGGCGGGAGCGCACAGCGGTGCGTTGCGCTTTAATTGAAACCGCGTGGTGGTTGCGGCGCTGCTGCACGTACAAGAGAAACGTTCCCGTACGAGCTTCCTCAGCGCGAACAGCACTCGCCCCCTTTTTCCTCCTCCCAGCAGCAGTAAGAAAAGGACTCGAGGAAAGAAAGGGGGGAAGCGGTGCTCAAGCAGTACACCGGCATTTAAATTCAGGCAGAAAAGATCGTGTGCACATCGCGACAGCCATCGCCAGAGCAACGCGGGCACCGCAAGGCTTCTGTTGCTGCTGAGGAGCAGCCCTTAGGAGAGCACAGAATCCGCAGCCCTGCCAGCAGCGACTGACAGCTGCTGAGCCCAGCACGAGGCTGCTCTTTCCTCCCACCAGCAGCGCTCCCTCCTTCCACCAAGGCGGCTCTGCTTCTTCAGCGGCGTCCATCGACCTCCTCGTTCCTGCTCTGAAGTACTGAAATCCAACGAGCACCTCCAGGCAGGAGCAGGGGAACGCCTGCAGCTACGAGCTTTTGTATTGGCCCTGGGCAGAAGGCTTGCTGAACTGCCCTGCTTGATCTCCAGCCTTGCTCCTGGGATCAGATTGTCCTTTTCCCAGCCATTTAGATGAGCGCATCCTACTTCAAAAGGAAGAAGCCCACGATCTTCCCACTGCTGTGCTGTGAAGTTTCCCTTTGTTACAAGGCAGCATTAGCTCCACACCATAGAAATGACCTGTTCCAGAGATGTGGCTGTGATGTGCGTGATAGTACATATATCTTAGTCATAAATACAACCACGGTGAATACAACCCTACCAAATAGTACAGAGATAATTATTAGTGTCTCACTTTCCTTGCTACAGGAACACCCACTTAGAGGCAAATCCACCAAACAGCACAAATTAAGAGCTCTGTTCCATCCCAACCAGTTAGTGTATTAGTCCCCTGGTTTAGACCATGAGAAAGTGACATTACTATTCCTTTCAAAAACTGAAACGAGAAAAGCCACAGCAATAACAGCAAACATAAAATTGCATTCAGTTAAAACCTGGCTTCTCAAAGCCTTTATAAAATCTAGAAGTCCTCTTCAGTTGGTGCATAAGAAAATCCTAAAAAAGCATCTGAGGCACTGGAGCTGCTGGCTGCTAAGTCAGGTGTGTGGGTGATGGAGGCAGAGATCGCTTCCTGGGTGAACTCTGGGTCGAAGTGCCGCAGATCAGCTGGGCCAGCCTACAGGGGCAGAGGGACGCATCATGTTGGGCAAGCAGACCCCAAGCACCTGCTTGCGGCCCATCCCTTATCACCACCCTTGCACTGTGTAACCTGCACTTCAGCATCCCTCGCTATCAGTGAGGGACGCCTGGGGAAGAGCCTTTGACCTTGCAGCCTCAATTCCGTGTGGGCCACTATAAGGCAGACCCCAAATTAAATACCCACTTACCACATTAGGGTTGAACGGAGGGGTAATCCTCTTGTGGTACAAGTCATCCCAGTTTATTGGGCTGAAGAATACGTGGTTCTTTATCTCAAGCTGCATGGAAAGGGGGGAGGAGATGTCAGTTGCCTGCTAACGCTTCTCTCTCAGCACCTGCCAGCTAGTTTCATAGCTGTGAGTCATTGAAACAAGACTTGGAGCTGCCACATGAACCCTACGTGGACATGTAGTAAGTCTTTAATCCACAAGGGTCATAGTCCTGTAATACCTTGAAGGGATGAGATGACACCATTGCAGGTATTCTAGCTTGCCACCACATCTTGAATCATAGCATTTCCCTTCAGGAATGAGTCAACCCCATCTACCTCTTTTAGGGAACTGGAAAGACCTACCTACATGGAAAGCCTTTCCCAAGGCAGTGCTGTTACCATAAACATATATAAAGCTCATCATAGGAAGCCTTCTTATCCATCCTCCCTCCTAATCATAAGAGAGGCCACCTACAAAGTCTGTTTTGGCACCCAGCCTCCTCTTCTGGTCCTTGTGGAGAAGTCCATGGAGGATATCACAGGCTGCCACAGTCTTGCTTCCTTGGATCTGGAGTTGCTTGTGGAGAATGTTGTCATACATTTGAGACACATCCCGGCTATAAAAGGGAGGCTGATTTGAAAGAGAAGAGAAGCAGCCTGTCAAGTATAAGCTATGGTAAGGAACCACACATCATTGGCCAAGATGTGTCCCACAGTGAGAAGTTAAGGGCAACCTGAACTCTGTTCCAATGGTTAAGGGCATGATTGAATCCTGCATTCAGTTACCTGCCTCAGTTGCCCATACCAAGTGCCATAGGAACATGAGGTCGACATCACTTCACACGTTTGGAAAATAAGTTCTCCACTAAAATAAAATATCTTCTAAACTTACCAGTCCAAAAAGCATCTCATAGAGGACAGCTCCAAGGCACCACCAGTCTACTGTCCTGTCATACGGCTGCTTCTTTAGCACCTCAGGAGCTAAGTACTGGAAGAGTCAGAAGTAGATACTGTAGTCCACTCACACAGGAAGGGGTTCACCTTTGTAAGTATACAAACCTGGCTGCAGTTCAAGTTCAGCAAATCCATTCGGAAGAACACAGCGGCATCTTCAAATAGGCTTACAAGGATTCTCCATTTGCCAGAGACACCCACCAACACCCAACTCCCCACAGAAAAAAAAAAAATCGCTTTCCTGGGCTACAGAGTGCTTTCTTCCTAGGAACAGTTTGTACAGGGATTGGCCACCCACCAAGAAAACCAGCAAACCTGCCCCACACTGATGTATTACACTTCTAACAGACTCTTGTCATTTTGAGGTGGTTGCAGTTTCCGTACCCAGTAGGTCTATCCAAAGCAATGAAACTACTCAGAGCCCAGGTGCAACAGGTAAGCATTCATGTGGCCTGCAGGACAAGCAGCACATCAAGTCTGCTCTCACATATGATCATTTCCATGTTATCAGGCTCCCTGTATCAACGAGGCTCTCCCCCTCAGCTCATAGCAGAGCTCCAACACGGGCCATACCTCAGGAGTGCCGCAGAACGTAGAGGTAGTCTCTTCTTCCTCCATTCCTTCCTTGCAGAGTCCAAAATCTGTCAACACCACATGTCCCTGACAAAAAGAATTTCAGCCTGGCCCACTCTCTCATGAGAAACAGCAGGATTGCCAAGCATTGGCCACCACATTTAACCCAATCTATGTTTTGCTGTCCCACTGGTCACTTGTTTTCCTTTCCCTCACCTTCTGGGTGTCCTATCATGCAAGTAGGAAGTCTATGGAGAAAATAAATAAGTACAGACATTTTCTAAAGTTTCACTACAGCTGCACCACTGTGATGGCATCCAACACTTCTGTGCCTCAGCACTGCCTTAGCCCAAAGCCAGGTGGCATAGTGTCACCACCAGAGTAGCAGTGACTTACTCTTAGCACTCAAGTCCCTCCCCTCAAGCCAGGTCCCAGCTCTTGGGACCAAGCAGAGTGTTTTGTATGCGGAGTTCTGCAGAGTGTGTGCTTGCTCCCTCTTGCAAGACCTGGACAGAAACTTAGTGGTATATAGATGCAAAAATCCATGCAATGGAATGAGCCACGGCTTGTCAAACTATAGCTCTCTGGTTATGATGCCCATGCTTTGAAAAGGCAGCACAAGAGGTGCATATACCTGGCAATCCAGGAGAATGTTCTCAGGTTTTAAATCCCTGCAAGGCAAAAAACTTTTTGAGCAGATCAGGATTTTCTAAATATCTGGCCTAAACAGCAACAGCATCAGGTGAAAGGAGGAGCTAACAAGACTTCATAAGCCAACGCACCAAGACCTTTTCAAAGTGCAAACTCCCATTGCTCTTGGGCATTAAAATTTACATATTAATGTAGAACTGCTGTCATGCAGGGTCAGATATTAATTTTCATTTCACTGTGCATGATTTGTCATAGAAATTCTGATTTCCTTAGTAAGGTTTCTCCTAAATCTTTGTATGCAACTAGAGTCTTGTCCCCACTGCTGGGCTGGGGGTGTTTATTGCCCAGCAGGTCCCTCACGCTGCTGAATGCCACTATGCTTCACACAGACCTAAAAACCTCCTTTCCCTCCCCAGCCCTGCACCCAGCTGGCTGGTGGATCCATTGCCCCTGCTCTCCCCAGCATGGACGTGTACCTTACCTATAGATGATGTTTAAGGAATGCAGGTAACCAATTGCACTAGCAACCTCTGCAGCATAGAATCTTGCACGGGGCTCACGGAAACAACACTCTCTTTGCAAGTGGAAGAAGAGCTGAGACAGAGACAAGAGGATTTATGGCCACTCTAAAAGCAGAAAGTTATCTTCTGGCCCACAAGCCAGCTACTCAAGGGAAAGCTGATTTATAGCAAGAGGCACACAGACAGCACCAAATAAGCCTAAACCAAGAAGCCTTATTTCACTATCTAAGCACCTTCCCAGGAATTGTTGCATTTGTCTTCCTCATATCAGTCCTGCACCTAAGAAGTCATTGCCCAAAACCTGGCCATCTGCTGATCTAGTTAAGCTTCCTTGCTAGCTCTAGCTCATGAGCCAGTTATAGGTGTACATACAGTATGGTCACAAAACAGTGCTAACCTAAAAATCCCATGCGAGTCAGAACTCTGTGTAAACAAGACATTGGTGTTAATAGCACCTCCCAGCCTGTTTCAGGTAGCACTGAGAGGCACAGCTGTAGAGAGAGCAGCTGTTACAGTTCAGAAAAAGAAGCCTGACATACTGCAGGAGCATCACATCAGCTCTAGTCTGGGACTGAGAGCTGGCACGAGTGAGTTTTCCATGAAGTTCACCAACACTGGAATTTCTCATGCTCTCCATGGGATTTCAAAGCGTCCCTAACTTTTTTCTCCGCCTACTTGTCTTGATAACCAGCTGGCACAGGTCATCCTCAGCAATATTTTCACTTATAAGGGAGATGC